ACCGCTGGGGAAGAAGGGCAGCTGTCTGCTTTTCATGCTAAGCCCCAGAGCAGCACAACTAACCTGAAGGTTGGGATAACACAGAGTCAGGATGGGAAATCATACCTGCAGGAAGGAGCCTCCCGTGGGTGCTGGCCCTGTTATGGGGTTCTGTTGCGAGTTGCATCACCCCCTCATATATGGGGTCCCTTCCATCAAGTCCCCCACAAGTCCCTCGATTTCTCATGGATTGCTCCTTGCTGCCATGAAACAGCCTGTAGACTGTGGGCTGCAGTGCGCTGCCCGGGCGTTCTGGCAAGCACTTCCGGAAGGCTCAGAGGCCAGAGTCCCCAGAGCACCCTCTGTGAGCTGGCAGTGTGGGCGCAAGGCACCGTGCTTCGGCAGCTTTTCATTTTTAAGGTTTTTGCCATGGGGTGCTTTAGCTTGCCAGAGAGAGAGACAGAGCAAAAGTGAGAAATCATTCTCCAGGGAGATGGCCACACTGTGGTCCTTTCTCCATTCTCCTCTTGGCATTTTGGACATGCATGCATGCACACACATGCACACCTGGTGTGATTTTCAAACTACCAGATCTGGGGCTCAAACCAGAGTTTGCCATGTGAGAGTCCAACGCCTTTGCTGGCCTCTTTGGCAACTTTTTGGACACTGAAATAGTATCTTTAGGATTTTAGTCTAACCATCGTACAGGTGTTCGCCATAACAGATCAGTTAGTGGTATCTGTCCTAGCAAAACACTGGACGTGCCCAGCCAGGGGGTCAGGCCCATGCAGGCAGGGGAGTTCCCACAGCCATTGTATACCCTGTGGCTGATGTGTAAGGCTGGGAAATGGTCATTAATTCAATGGAAATGTGCAGGTTACGAACCAGAAGATCGTGTTATGACAACAAAAGATACACACTTGCACTCAAAAAAGAGACCCTGGGGGTGTACCACCTGTCAACACTGGGTGTTTCTGAGTAGCGTGTTGTGGTAATTTTTACTCTTTAGCTTTACCTATGTTTCTTAGACTGTATTTTTCTGCAGTGAACTTCTGTTTACTAACAAGAAAAAATGTGAAGTTTACTTTTTTATGAAAGGAGTTGCCCTAAATTTTAAAGACAGTCAGCAGTTGAAAGGCACTCGCTCTCCAGGCCCTGGGCTGGCCTGAGTGCACGAGGGGGCACCTTCACTCTGTCCTTTGCCTGCAGCTGGGGGAACAGTTGAAACAGCTGGTGCCTGCGAGCGGCCTCACCATCATGGATCTGGAGATCGAGGGCACGTGCTTGCGCTTCAGCCCTTTGATGACGGCGTCAGGTAACTAGCCTCCTGGTTTCTCCTCGCTGCTGTCCTGGGGAGGGGCAGGTCATGTCTGTTCTGGTGCAGGTGGTCGGCCAGCTCTCCGCTGTGTGCTATTCTGGCCTCCCATGGTCATCAGCATCTTTTTGGAGGGGCTTTTTCCTGCCTTCGGGCCAAGGTAGGAAAGCTAGGCTGGCATCCAGTAATCTGAGTGACTTCTCAGAAATGGAATGAGCCTTCTGAAGCCACTCAAATTCCCATGTTTGGATGTCTGTGACCCTTGGTGTTCTAATCCAGCACTTGTTCCTCCTGCCTGCACGTTAGAATCACCTGTGGAGTTTTAAAACTACCACTCGCTGGGCCCCACCGACAGCGAATCTGGTTTCCTTGCTCTGGAACAGAACCTGGGCATCTGTACTTTCAACAGGTCCTCCAGTGATTCTAACAGGCCATCGAAGGGTGAGAACCACTGAGACATTTGAGAAAGCTGCCTGGCTGCTTACATGGCAGTACTTGGACTTCAGGACAAAAAGCCCTTCTCAGCCACTTTGTACATGTGCGATTGTGAGCAGAGTTCTTAATCTCCAGACCTGCTCCCCAAGACCTCATGGTAGTGATGTGAAAATGAGAGCAAGATTGTGGGGAACCAGCAGATGGCTTAATGGTTATGTCACTAGACTCCCACATAGTCGACTGCGGTTTGAGTCCTGGATCCAGCCCCGGTGGGCGCATGTGCGTGCATGGCCAAGATCCCAAGGGGAGGGATTGCAGCATGGCCATCCTCCCGTGGGATTATCTCTCACTTTGTGTCTGTCTGTCTCTCCAGCAGGTGCACATGCTCTATAGCAAAAATCTCTCTCTAAAAAAAGAAAAAAGATTATGCTTATGAGATGCCTTAGGTAGTGCTTGGCACATTGTAATAGGCAGTGTGAAGTAAGCTGAAAAAATATGTTAAAAAATATGGGGCCAGCCCATGGTGTGGCAATTAAGGTAGCTGGATCCCACATGGCCAATGGCATGGTTTGAGTCCTGTACCCAGTGCCTTGAGACTTATAGACAGGTGCAAAAGTAAATCCTGTTTTGCAACCCAGAACTCATAGTCTAGTATGGGTTTTGATACATGTAAGCAGGCATGTGTGTCATACCAAAAATCCTGAAAGGATGGATAGATGGAGGAGAAGGGATTATGGCTTGACCATTCCCCATGGGGGCAGGGGGTGCTTTCTTGTTTTCTGTCTTTCTCCAGATAATGCATGCACACTCTGGCAAATTTAAAAAAAAAAAAAGGTTGTTTAGCACTTGTGTTTGTTTAACTTATGGGAAAAGACTTATTTTTTTTTTAAAGAATTATTTTATTTTACTTTATTTATTTATTTAATTTGACCACAAGAGGATAGAGAGAGAGAAAGAGAGAGAGAAAGTGAGAAAGCAAGCCATCAGGTCCAGAACTTGAACCATGGTTGGCCATGTGGAAGTCCAGCGCCCTTAACTGCCACGCCACCTGCCGACCCCTTATGGACAAAGACTTATAGACAGGTGCAAAAGTTAATCCTCTTTTGCAACCCAGAACTCATAGTCTAGTATGGGTTTTGATACATGTAAGCAGGCATGTTGTGATACATAGACAGCTTAAAGCTACAGGGGTATTACTGACAGTGAGGCTGGTTCCAGAACTGAAGCATTAATAGTTCAGAAACACAAGGACATGAGGGGAATCTCAACTATGTTTAGTAGTCCAATTTTCATTTTGATAGGATATAATGAAATTACCTTTTTTGTGATATGATTTAAACATTTTCAGAAAATGTTTAGTGGCTTTTAATGAGATATCTTTTTTTTTTTTTTTGAGAGGTTTTTGGTATAGGATGTGTGCGCTTGCCAGAAAGACAGGGAGAAAGAGAAACAGAAAGCGAGAAATCACCAGGTGGATGGCCATGCTGCAATCCCTTCTCCTCTCTTCTCTCGAGATCTAGGGCACGCACGCACACATGCCCGGTGTGAGTTTAAGCCACTGGGTCTGGGACTCAAACCGCAGTTGACTACATGGGAGTCCAGCAACATAGCCACTAAGCCAACTGCTGGCCCCATTCATGAGATATCTTTAACATTTTTTGAAAAATATTTTCTCAAAAACATCAAAGTAAGAAAATGCAGGCATTCGTCCTACAAAGGAAAAGGTCTCGTGACGGTCATGGGCAACTACACCTCTAGGCCGGAGGCTTAGACCCCAAAACTGGACAAGGCAGCCTGAGGCTTGGTGAACCTGCTCACAGCTCTGAACTGAGGAAGTGAGAGACAAGCAACGTTGCCAGAACCCTGAAACCCCTCCAGCCCTGACCTGGAGATGACTTGGTGCTGTCACTCACCCTGCCCTTCCTGGCATGCCCAACACAATCCCACCCACATATGGGTCTTCCAGAAGTTCATGGAAGATGCATATTAGGAAAACTGCATAGATTTCCAGTATATTTGCACCAAAATGAAGTTTAATTCTATTTTTCCCTCGATATTTTGAAGTCCCCTCACTGCCCCCCTTTCTCTGAAGCATTGTAATGTAGAGAGAACTTGTGTTCCCCCTCTGTTGATGACTGTGATAATGTTTATAATGTGGCTGAAGCAGTCTTTGTATGAGGGCCTGATTTCTGTTGGAGGGTTTCACGGTACATTCATTCTTGTATGAAATCTTATATGAAAGAAAAAACTCTTCAACAGCCAGAGCAGCTGGCTGTGTTAAAGTTTTTAACATCTGACTCTTCCATGTCTGAGTTGAGTGGCTTTTCCTC